TGGCCAAGGAGGAACTGATGAACATGGGTGCATCTGGTGCTGCTGTGGCTGATTCCAGGAGCTGGAGTCAGGGAAACATCCTCCACTCATCCTGTACCCTGTGTGCTGCAGCTGCTGCTACAGCTGCTATACCTTGGGCTGGATGTGAGGTAGCAGTGGCCTGATCCCCCTGTTCCCACTGCACTTCTCTTAAGTGGAAGCTTCTGGATAGAGAGGGCCTCACACAATGGTGTGATGACAGTGTCCTGAAGGGACTGGTACAGTGCCTTTGTCCCTTGAAATAAGGGATCATAGAATCATGGAATGAGTTAGATTGGAAGGGACCTTAAAGATCATCCAGTTCCAACCCCCTGACATGAGCAGGGACACCTTCCACTAGACCAGGTCAAGTTAGTGCTCAAAACTTACTTTGCTCTCTAAAAAAAATGGTGATTATAAAAATTCTTCATTATTGGCTTCATTCATTCCTTCCCATAAGGCTTGGCAGGAAGGTGATGTCTGACATCAGGGGCCAGTTTTCAGGAGTTTGGAAAACTCCTGTCCAAACCCCCTTTGAGGTCACCATGGTGCTTCCAGCTGACTTCCAGGTAACTTGGAGAAGTTGGTTCCTCCCCTGTTGGCATAAAAAGGCAGCTCAGGAGAAATCCTCTCCAACCAGCTGTCCCTGGCGGATAGGGAAGCTTCCCCTTGCTCAATTTCTGGGATCTCAGCAGATGTTTTTTCCTGCTGGGGGAGAGGGACTTGGACCACAATAGATGGGAACTGGGTTGCCAGGACCAACAGAGTCCTTCCCCCTGCTGAACTGGCTCTGGGAACAGCTGCCCTTGGCCACAGGACATTCAGGATGAGCAGGTAGACATGTCTCTTACTCCAGGCTCTGTCCCTGGTGTGCTGCTCAGGCTTTGGCTCCTCCTTTGGCCAGGCTCTCTGCTTTCCTAGAGTGTTCTGCTGTTGTCACCACTTTAATTTCAAAGCTGCTGTCTGGGACTCTGCTTATGCATCCTGATGGGCTCTATCTTCCCTATTGCTGGGGGACCTCAAAGAGGTGGCAGCTGCTTCTCTCTGAGTAGCAGCCAGGCTGGGAAAGGGCCACATGGAAAGGGAGCCTTAACACAGCCAAGGTTCTGCTTGTTAATGGGGTGTCTACTCCCAGTACAGCTTAACTCCATTTTACCTGCATACCCTGGACACCAGTGGTCAGGTACTTGTGAGCATCTCCTGGGCTCTTTGGGATGCAGCTCCCCAAATGAGCTAGGGTGGCAGAGTTTAAGTTGTGTTGAGTGGCCTTGGTGTGGAGGAGTGACACTGAAGCCCTGGAGAAACAGGCTGGAGTCCTCTGGCAGTGCAACAGAGCATGGAGAAGCTGTCAGTTTTGAAGATCGCCCTTTTCCTCCTTCCCTGCTTATGCCTAGCCATGTTTGAGCAGTGTAATCAGACTGAAAGCTGCCTGGGGAAGCCACAAGGATGCAACAAGATACGGTTTCCTCAAAAGCACAGTGACCATGGGCTGTGAGGAGTCTTCCTGGGATGGAGCAGGGGCCACCACCTTCCAGTGCAGCCCAGATTGTCCCACCACACTGGCTGGGCAGGGGATCTGGCAGAGATGCTTCCCAGTTCACTGCTCCTGGGGAGCCCTCTGGCCTGAAGAAGCTTCGTGGTGATTTTCAGGCTGGGACTGGTGCTGGTTCCCCTGACTGTGATGGCTTCACTGTGTGTGGAGGGTTTTGAAATGGGAAACGGTGGTCTCTGAACAAGCATATGTACAGGATTGTGTGAGATGGACCCAGACTGTGGCTGTGTTCATGACTTGGGGTTTTGTCCTCCAAAATGTCTGCAAGTGAGGGAACGAGATGCTTGTGCAAGTGTCTCAGTGATGGCTGTGTGCAGCAGTGCTCTGTGTTACCCAACACAGACAGTCCCAACACTGCATATGTCTTGGTTTCTGCTTTAGCAGTCTCCTCCAGCGATCCTCTTAAAAATCATTTTATGTATCCTGCAAATTGAACTACAGTTTCACTTATAGAGTGGTTCATTCTACTATGAAGTGGCAATGGGAAGCTGCTGTTTGCATCCCTGAGTGCATGGCTGTGCACCTTAGCACAGCAGACTGGTAATGGGAAATTCGAGAGATTCCAGCAATCTATCTATCTCAGCACATTGCCTCTGCTGCTTCGTAACAGGCATAGAGCTCCTCTGGGAGACCAGTTAGTGTGACAGCCCTACCCTGAAGGCCTGACCACATCATTCCTTCAGTAAGAAAAGGCCTGAGGCTGTTCCTCTGCCTTGGGGGAAAGGAGACAGCCCTTCTCTTGCCCCAGGTCACCAGAGAAAACCAGACATTAAGAGATGTGGGAGGTTGTGCTGTGTCTGCTTCTAGCCAGATGGGGGACTGGGATGCACTAGGGGGGTTGTGGGACAGCAGTCCCTTTGGGAGGATCACTTTTTGATGACAGATGAAGGCGTTTATAGACTTGCCTGAACTTTCAGGTGTTGGTACCTTGAATCCCACCACCCCCAGCTACGCAGGGACGCGTTTCATCAAGGCAGAGCCTCCTCCTGTTTGTCTGGCTCGCAGGAAGCTTCACAGCCTTGCAGAAGGCCTGACACTCTGCAAAGAGCTGTGGCTCCTGCTCACCTAGGAGGCGTGTTAGGAATCATCCCAAACCAGACTGGTTTGGGTTGGAAGGGACCTTAAAGCTCATCCAGTTCCAACCCCCTGACATGGGCAGGGACATCTTCCACTAGACCAGGTTGCTTCAAGCCCCATCCAACCTGGAATGTGGGTTATGCTGGGGAGCGCTGGCTTGCTGTGGAGTGTCTGTCAGTCTGGCTAATCCTCCAGTTGTCTGTCCTAGAGTCTTCCAAATTGCCCTTTTGTCCCTAAACAATTCTGCTTTGCAAATGCTAAAGGAGAATCCCCGGGGCAGCTCCCATTCCCTCCCATCAGGAGAAGATAAAGATTCAAACTAACCCTGCTCATTCTCTTCACGGCTGCTGCTGCCCGGTCCAGCCGCTCTCCTGTTGCCTTTGCATAGCTGAGGAGCCATCATCTCTGCCAAATAAGTGCTGGTACTCTCCTCTGAAGGCATGTGTGTGCCTGAACCCCAGCTGCTCCCAAAGCCGAAGTTGTGCTTTCCGTCTCTAGCAGCGAAACAAGAGTTTTTCCCTTCCATCTCGCGCTTCTATGTTCCAAACCCCACTCCCCCCCCCCCCCCCCCCCCGCCTGCTTTCCCAGCCCGCTCCGCTCCGGCTCCTCTGACCTCCTTTGACGTGTTGCATTTCACTGGTAACGGGGAGCCGATGGGAGATAAGAGGGCGACCGCCCCGACGTTGTGAGCGGCTCAGGCTGCGCCGGAGGAGCCTCACGCTGCGCTGTATCAGCAAACGGACCCGTTTCAGGAAGCGCCCTGGAGCCCTCCCCAGCAGCGGTGGAGCCCATCGGAGGGAAAAGGTGGGAAATGAAGGGGAGGTTGTCCTGAGCAGCGGGTAGACAGCTGATTGTCCCCGTCTGTGAGAGGGGATAGAGCCTGAGCTGTCTCCTCCTGGTGTGTGAATGGAATGCAGAAGGTGCTGGAGGTCCGTGAACCTATCTATGATGTCCCTGGGGACTCCTTGTGCACCATCAGCCCCCCGTTTCCTGTGCAGGTTTGCACCGGTTGGGTCTGTTTTGCTGGGAGCGGGATCAAAGGAATTACAACACCCCCCCAGGAACTGCAGCAGAGATGGTGACAGTGGCTCCGAGAGCCACCAGCCACCCGCCCCAGTGACCGTGGGGCTAACCCGTCCGCTGTTGAATTCCGAGCTGGAAGCTGATCCGGAGCCTAGAGGAAAGGGAAGCAAATAAGGGAGGCGGGAAGCAGGGGTGGGGTGTGGGGGGGTGTGGGGGTAGGGGAGGATGGAGAGGGGGCCGGACACAGCGCACAGCAGGGGTTCGGCGGCGGCCGCTGTCCCTCGGTGCTCGCAGGCTGGTTGCCGTGGATGGCTCTAAGCTGGGAAATAGCAATGAAAGGGGCTTGTGTGTGTTTTAACATGGCATCCACAACAGGGATGCAGAGGATGTAGGGGGAGCTCTGCCAGCTGGGTTAACGTAGGTTTTGTTTGCTGTGTCCGAGGGTCCCTGGCACGTGAGTCCCGTCACACACCCCTGCCCTGGATGTGCTTCACTGACTTGGTCTGGCTTTGCTCTGTGGGGCTGGGGTGTGTATTTGTGTGTGGATTTTCTGAAGCCCGTGTTTTTCCTCTGCCCAGCTGGCATCAGGCTCTGAGGATGCAGAGCTGAGAGCTTCCGACCAGGGGAGGTTGGCTCTACGATTTCCTTTCGGGTTTGGAGCATCCTTTTCTCTGCTGGCTGCTGTAGAAAGGCGCTTTGCTGGAGCCTGGGGAGCAGATGATCTCCGACTACTGTTTGGTGGCAGGCTGGAAAACCGTGATGGGGAGATGCTGCTGGAGGCTGAGAGGTGCCTTTTGCCTTTGGAAACAGGGAGGGAGGGAAAAACTGAACTCTGAATAGCCACAAGAGAAGCGAGTGGGGTTCTTTCGCAAGAGGAGCGAGCTGAGATCCTCTCCACCTATTGTGGTGTAAGAACAGACCTTTTGGAAAGCCATCTGAACAGCCAATTCCTTGGGGTTTCTCATCAACTTCTGATCCAGAGAGCATCCCCTTGCCCGGCCGAGGGCCACCACAGCCACCCTGGGCCACCTCTCCTGCCAAGTGGCCACTTGCCTTGGGGGCTCACAGACCTGTGCCATTACTACTGAGGGACCCTTTCCAGCAGGAGTGCTTATTAGTAGTTGTATTATTTCTTTCCTCCTCCTTAATTCAGCTCTGCAGCGTCGCAGTATCTAAGCGTGTGGATGCCAGCTGCTCTCGTGCAGTCCGGCGCCTGCAGTTGGCTCAGGGAGGCAGAGCTTCCCACCCTGCAAATGTGAGGGATCGCCGTGGAGCGCCCTGTGAATCTCCCAACAAGTCGTTCCTGGAGCGCCCTGTGAATCTCCCAACACGTCGCTCCTGGCTGTACTCTTCCTGCCTTGCTCCGTGCCTGGGTCATAGCGCTCTCTGACTGGTCCCGTGGGCTGCCAGAGCCCGCAGAGTAGCGAGCACAGTCGGGATGTAGCATGCGTGAGCGTGCGGCGGGAGCGGCGCCCAGGGACACAGGCGGGGGCCATGGCTTCCTTTGGGAAGCTGACGGAATACTTCAGCCTGAGGAAGTCCAGGACGGAGCTGCGCTCAGGGTGGCGCGGCCGGCGGAGCGGGAGCTGCTGCTGTAGTGGCCTGGAGTGCAGGTACAGGGTGGCCTGTGCTGCCTTCGTGTGTGCCCCAGGGGGCTGCGGGCTGGGAGATGCAGTCTGAGGGCTTTGCTTTCCCTTTATGGCACCTGGGACTGGGGAGGGGGCTGGGGGCATGGAAAGAGCTCAGGAAGCATCCCCTTTGTCCTGAGGGGCTCCTGAGCAGCTCATTGCCGTGGGACATCTCCAGCAGGCTCCTGGCATCGGTGTCCCTGCCCAGGGCACATCCCGGGTATCGGTGTTGCACCTCAGATGTCTGCAAGTGTATCTGCCTGCCTCTGCCTTGGCTGGTGTGTAGTGCCGCTGCACTGTCTCCTGGTTGGAGGAGGAGGTGGTTGTGCTGCCGTTGCCCTTTCTTACCTCTGCCCCTCACTCTGCTGTGGGCCAAGTCCTGGGCTGAAAAAGCGCAAGATGTGGCTTCACAGGTAGGGATTAACCTGGTGCTGGTGGAGCCTCCTGGCATGCAGGGGATTGGTTTGGGGGGGTCTTGGTGGTGCTTCAGGACAGGCTGCAATGTAAAATGGGCTTCTCTAGGCAGCAGACAAGCTGCTCCTTGTCAGCTCGATTGGGGGGTGGATTGATGAGGGGAACATGCTGGGGTTCGGGATGGGTGGCACTGGGTGGACTGGAAGTCCCCTTGGAGCGTGCTGCTGTTGGAGTGATTGGGGTTGTGGTGGGAAGCAGCAGGGCCAGCCCCACACATCCTTGGTTTGCATGTCAACACAGTTATTGCAATGAAGCAAATTGCTGGGTGCCTGGGTAGCTTTACCTGTCCTGGGGAATGATGAGCAGTGTGTAGGGAATGGCAAGCATTGTACAGGACATGGCTAGCACTTGATGCTTTTCCCCTTCTCTGTGTGGGCTCATGGTGAGACAGAGGGTTAGAGCCTGAGCAGTGTGTGTGTCCCCAAACCCTCTGCTGACCTGCACATGGCAACTCCTTGCTGCTGGAAGGATGTGGGTCTGTGTGGGGACACATGAGGGAAACACGGCACCATGATAATTGCTTGCTTTCTTCCCTGGGTGTTGAGCCCTCTAAAGGTTATTGAAGTATCGGCAGATTAAAAAGAAGTTGGGGGTCTGTTGCCTGAGCCCCTCTTGTTGTTTCCAATGCTGCTGCTGAGACGTGATGTGCTGTTGTTGTCTCCCCTCCTCACTCGGTGGCTGAAGGATTCAGTTGCCTCTTCCCCACTCACTTGGAGCCTGGCACGGTTTCTCTGGAAACACGAAACCATCCTTGGCTGAGCCAGGAGCTTTGTTCTGCTCTTCTTTGGTGTTGTGGACAGTAACCCTGGTTTCTGCTCTCTGTTTTTTGCTGTGCCAGTGTGATGGGCATGTTGAAGTTCTGCAGGCACTGCCCAGCACAGTGTGTCCATGGGGCTCGCTGGTGTGCACCCAAGTGCCACAAGGAGAGCAAGCATGTGGCTTGGGCATGAGGGGAGTGAGGAGATGCTCCTGGGGCTTGACACCTATCATCCCCCTTGCATAGCCTGCTGCTGTTCTGGACCTTGGGTTTTGGGGTGAATTGTGTGATTTCCCATCTAATAGGAGATGCTGTGGTGCCTTCCTAGCTCTGGGGGCATTAGTCACACAAGTGTCATTTTTGGTGGGTAGCTAAAGTACCAAATCTGCTGGGGAGATGCTGAGTGAGGACGTGTTTAAGAGCAGGAGTGTGGTTTGTGCTGTGTCGTTGTGGCTGTTGTGTGGGGCTCTGTGTGAGGCTGCCTGACATGCCTCCTCCAAGCAGAAGCTTCTGCACATGCCCGGATGGTGCAGCATGGCCAAGCTGGAGATGAAGCAGCCGTGCTTCCCTGCCCCGGGGCCATGCAGCGGCTCTGAGTGTGCAGACAGTGCTCCTTGGTCCTGACACTCGCAGACCCAGGGCTCAAGTACACCTGCAGATCCTGAGCATGTTCCCTTGATTGCATATGGTTGATTATGGCGGTAAAAATGTGTTGATTGAAGCACAGGATGCTTTTGAAATCAGTGTCACTTTCCACCCAAGCTGCTTGAGTTTTTTACTGGTTTTGTTCTCCCCTCCAATGTCTGTACCTTGAGAAGCCCCACCTGAGCCCCCTGACCCAAGCTGCATTGGCTGCTACCAGCCAGGAAGCCAAACACTTCATGGCAGGGACCCAAAAACAAACAAAAGGCATCTCCTGCCACATCTGACCCTGTCCTTACTCTAGATGAGGCTTTTTCTCCCTTTGCTGAGCGACGTTCTGGTTTGATTTTATTTCTTCATGCTAATAGGGGCAAATTAAACAAGGAAATAAGTGGCTCAGACCCCTTGTTTCCATGTGCACAGAAGTACTGGAAATCCTGGATGCAAGCTCAAGTGTGATGTCTGAGCCATGTCATGGCCCTGGCATGGTTCAGCCCAGTCGGGCTCCCACCACTCCTGTCAAAGGCCTGTGGTGCCCTGGGACTGCAGCAATCAAGTGTGGGCAGGTCCTCAGCAAGGAGGATGCACTAACTGGAGTTATTAAATTCTAAATATAGTGGTTCCATGTGTTCCCGGGGGACCTCACAGACATTAGCAGGTGTGTAGTTATGCTCCTAAGTAATCTGCCTGGGTTTTCAAACTAAACCTCCAGATAGAGCAATGTGTGCAAGGTGGATTTGGGAATTGAGGGCTCAAACTTGTACATGGAAGAGCAGTAGCATGGCGTGTTTGTCTCACATTGTTGAATCAGTTGGACAGTCAGATCTCCAGGGGTTGAGAGGCTCCAGGTGCGACATGCTGGGGATCAGAGTGTCCCAGCATGCAGCTTGTAGGGTGTGGGGACTGAGTGTAAACACACCAGCCAGGGATTGGAACAGGGTGCCCAGAGAAGCTGTGGCTGCCCCATCCCTGGCAGTGTTCAAGGCCAAGTTCGACGGGGCTTGGAGCAACCTGGTCTAGGAACCTGGTGGTTGGAACTGTATGAGCTTTAAGGTTCCTCCAGCTCAAACCATTCTATGGTTTATCTGCAGTAACTTTTTCCAGTCTGATAGAAGCATTGAGGGATGAACCAGACGATTGGCTTGACTGGCTTTGGAGCCGCATGGCTTTGTACAGGATGATGGGGTTTTCTCTGCAGCACTGAATGAAGATGCCTGTGGGCAAAAGACAGGAGGGCCTGGATGTGCTTCTTGGGGTTTGTTCTTTGTGTTATGGTGTCAGCCTCAAGGTGCGTGTGCCGAGCTGTCTGTGTGTTGGTAAAGAGGATCTGCTTCGGGCATGAAGAGTAATGAGGGGAAAAGTCAGGTTCTACAAAACAGCTCATTAGTGAGTTATTTTAAAACTGGAAGGTCTGGGCAGCCAGTTCTGGGTTCCTGCAGCTTTTGAGAGTGGATCAGAACATCGGGGAAGGCTGTTGTCTTGTAACTGGGTTGGGAGACCAGCGGTGATCGGCTGGGAGTGGGCTGGGGGAGGTTGTTGGAAGTGTTCAGGAGTCCGCTGGCACCTCTCCCAGCTGCTGTCCTCAGCCAAGGCTGCTTAGCATCCAGCAAGCCTGGCAGATGCTGGCCGAGGGCCAGGGGCTTGCAGTGCTGCTGGAAGATCAGGATCCAGTGTCACTGACAGAGTTCATGGTTCTTGGAGAACTTCTTAAGGAGCCTCTTGCGGTTGGTCTCAGCCTGAATGCAGTGCTGGCAGCAGACCCCCCCTGAGAACACCAGCCCTTCCCTCAGGGAGCTGCGACCTGCAGCAGTGACAGCCTCCCCATGGCAGGGGGTTGGAATTAGCTGATCTTAAGATCCTTTCCAACCCAAACCATTTTATGGTTCTAAAGCAAATGACACATCATTAGAAATCCCAAATACTGTCCTGGGGTGGCTTTTGGGAAGTATCTTGTTCTCTAGGCAGGAGCTCAGAGGCTGTTTGATATACTGGCTTTCTCTCTTGGCCCAGTACTGTTTTAGGATAGATCTGCTCACTTGGCTTCAGGAGGTTGATGCACATTTCTTCTTTGATTCTTCCCTGTGAGGGTGCTGAGGCGCTGGCACAGGGTGCCCAGAGAAGCTGTGGCTGCCCCATCCCTGGCAGTGTTCAAGGCCAGGTTGGACAGGGCTTGGAGCAACCTGGTCTGGTGGAAGGTGTCCCTGCCCGTGGGAAAGGTTTGGAACTGTATGAGCTTTAAGGTTCCTTTCAGCCCAAACCATTCCATTATAGGTCTGTGGTCCCCCGAGTCCCATGCGGTCCCCACAGAGGGGCTTTGATGTGCTCATCTGGAGATCACTTCCTAATTACGGAAAACAAGATCTTCAGGGTGGGGGGAGAGGAAGGAGAGATTTGTGGCTGGTTTTGGATCTTGTGTCCTTCTCCTGGGGGGGACCTTCAGCGTTGGAAGCAGCAGAAATGAAGACCCTCAACAGTATGGGGGGTGAAGAGCATACAGTCAGGTTGCAGGAGGGCAGCTTTTCCCTGGCTTGGGTAGAGGCAGTAGAGCAACCTGCAGTGAATCCCAGGGAAGCTAAGCTTGAGAAATGGGGAGGAGAGGTGCTTGGCTTGTGCTGAACCAGGGAGTGGGCAAGCAGTTAGCTGCAGGGTGTTAAATTATCTAAAAATTCCATAAAATTTCCAACTTGCCTGGCCTGTTCTGCCCATGCCATTAGATAATCTCCAGGTGATGCTCCTGATTTGCAGTCACAGAAGGAGCAGAGGTGGGTCCTGGTGTCCCTGCTGCTGTTGGAGCCCATACTGGGGCTTGCAGGAAGCTCTTTGCACTGGGGAGCTGTAACCTCCCCTCCTTTGTGGTATGTCCCACCCTGATTTCCTGATCCGTGTTCCTTGCTGTGAAAGTGGATGGGCTTCGAGGTGGGTGAGTGGGGAGGGGTGGTGGGCAGTGTTCTCCTGGCAGGGTTTGGCTTAGTTGTTTTTGGATGTTTAAATATCTCTCTTCAGCTCTGGCAGCACATCTGCGTTCCATCACATGGTTGTGATAGGGAAGAGAAAGAACTGGCAAGTTTTGGGGCTGGAAAAAGGCACTGAAGGAATAAATCCTGTGTGGGTT